TATAGGGAATCAAATGGAATGTTCAAGCGTGTGAAATGATGAAGTTTGGAGGGAAATCGCGTGAACCTGATGCACGAGCAAAGTGTGATCTGATTTGCATCAAAACTTATCCAATCCTTGCGTTTTAAGGCTCTAATCCACTTTGGCAACTTGGTTAAACATGTTTAGATCACAAACGCGTGCTAATTTGATGTTTAGAGGCCAAAACATGAATTTCAAACTCTGACTTATGGAGAAACTTCAATTCCAAGTTACCAAGTTCAATCCAATGGCATTTCCACCTCAAGGGGTCTTAGGGCAAAATTCTTGATGCTTTGGAAACATGAGGTTACAAGCTTTGTAATGGAAAAAGAATGGAATCAAATGGATGCTTGAGCTGAAAGTTACATGGAGTCAAAGTTGAAGAAAAATAGTTGACTTTCCATACTTAGAAATATTTCAAGTTCTTCTTTAAAAATGATCTATAATATTTTGCATCCAAACATGGCCTTCCACTTAGAATTTGCTCTTGACCAAAAAAGATGGAATGAAATAGATCTCTTGAATGATATTTTGCAATTTTAACCACTCAAAATCTCCAAAAATTGAGCAAGTTATGACTTGTTGAAGTTGGCCAAAAATCATGAAATGACCTATAATCTTTTGCATTCTTAAGGCAATTTCCATCCATTTTCTCACTTTTCACATAAAAGAAGGCATGAAGTACACATCCTTAGGATCATCATGAAAAAATAATGGGATCAAGGTGATAAAAATTGACCAAGTTATGACCATTTGAAGTCACATATGGAAAATTGGGGATTCATCTGGATGACTTGTAATCTTTCCTCTTCACCAAGTTTCTTCCACATGGAAACTCTTTGGAAATTTTGAAGTGATTTGTTGGTAACTCTTTGAAGAGAAGAATTTTTTTTGAATCACTCAAAAATATCAAAAGATGAGCAAGATATGCCCATTTGAAGTCTAAAACCCTAGCCTCTAGATCAAGAGAATGCTTTGAGGAACTTTGCCAAGTTTGAACAAACTTTTTGTGCCAATATTCTTCCTTTGTGAATAGAAATTGTTGAGTATGATGATGAGGACTCATGGACACCAAAACCACTTCCATACCAATTCTTCCAAAAAAACTTCAATGGTGAGGTTTGAATTTCTCAAGCTATTGACTAGGGCATGGAAATAAACTCATGAACCCATGAAGCAACTTGCTAAACCTCATTGCATTTACCTACATTATTAACAAGTAAGACAAACCAATATTGCACTTTGTTAATTAGAGAGAAAATCAAAGCAAAATATCCATGATCACAAAAGAAAACAAGTCAAGGTGCTTGGAAATTCCTCAAAAGAGCAAGGCTAAAGATAGGGAGAAGAACCAAAACCCTAATGTGATTTTGTTGTGATTGAAACAATATGGTATGATGCAGAAATCTTAGGGGAAAAATTGGGGTACAACACAAGTCAACATTCATTTACAATTATTATTATTTATTATTATCTTGTTTTGTATTATTATTATTATTATTATTATTTTTTGGAGCAAAAGATAACTTTTATATTTTCAAAATCAGATAATTACAATCCGATCCACATGGATCCAGGAATCAAGGAAACTAAAAAAATGTCAACCTAACCAAATTTACTTAATATAGATAAGCTCCCTATTAATGTGGTTAGCCAAATTCTTGTATCCTATATATCTCAAAATAATGATTTCTATAATCCTATCCTTTATATTATCATCTGGCACCTCTTGATTGAAAATCAAGTCGTTGTGCATTCTCTAAATAGAATACACAGTTTCAGCAGCTGCAACTTTAAGGATGCATCTTCTCCAACCTTTTTTCCTCGTTTCAGTGATGAGCCAATTTCTCTCAATATTCCAATTGGATGGGACCCTGTAGAAACCAGTCCAATTGAGAATATGTTGTCATATGTCTCTAGTTTTACTGCAATCAAACAATAAATGGGCCAGATCTTCAGGTTAAATATAGAACGCGCACCTAACATCCACATTCAGCCCAAACTAGAGCAATCTATCTTTCGTTGGGAGTCTCCCCTTAATATCAAGCCACAAGCTGAAAACTGCTCGATGCCTTGTATAATTGGAGAAGAAAAGCTTTTTATAATCCATTTGATCTAGCTTACCTCTCAAACTTTGGTACATTCTAGAAGTGATGAACTTGTTTGTGTGCACTGTAGTCTTCCAATAAGTTGTCTGAAGCACCTGTTCTCTGTTTTTCATGATCCATTTCAGCATCCAAGAACAGTTTTGCGGGGCCTGCCATTGCATTACATCATGGTTCTTGAGATAATACGTATTTATCCATCTGACCCAAAGCTTATCAGCTTTGGCCTGAATATTCCAAAGAAGCATCGCGACTGTGGCAATATTCCAGCACAACAAGTCTGTTATATTAAGGCCTCCATAATTCTTGGGCTCACAAATATTGTCCCAAGCCACACGTGTCTTGTAGCGTCTCTCCTCTTTGCCACTCTATATAAAATTCCTGTAGAGCCCTTCAATGTGATGGATGACTTTTTTAGGCAGCGGAAAAACTTGCATCCAATAGGCTGTAATGGAAAAGAGCACGCTCTTGATGAGTTGACACCTCTCTGCATAACTCAGCAGCTTGGCCGTCCAATGTTGTATCCTCTTGACAATTCTCTCAGTCAATGGTTGATAATGCATTACATTCAGCCTCATGCTGGATATAGACACTCCCAGGTACCTGAAAGGGAGATTTCCAGCAGAAAAACCAGTAGCAACAATGATCTTCTGCTGTTCCTGGGCCATAATTCCTCCAAAGTAAAGTTTACATTTCAAAGGGCTTACCTTTAGTCCTGTTGCAGCAGAAAAACTATTAAAGCAATTCTTGATAGCCTGAACAGATTCATCATCTCCTTTTCTAAAAAGAATTAGGTCATATGTAAAAGAGATATCAATAATGTCCAGCTTTGCGCATTTGAGATGGAATCTGAATTTAGGCTGCTTGTGAACATTCTTTAAATACTTGTGCAAGTATTCCATTATGAGGATAAAAAAGAGAGGGGAAATTGGGTCCCCTTGTATAATATCTCTCCTAGATTTCATAATCTCACTCTTTTGCCCCTGAATAGTGTACTGATAGGAAACTGTGGAAATACAGGTCATAATCCACTCAATGTACCTAGGGGAATCTCATTTCTCTCATAATAGTTTCAAGGGCTCCCCATTCAACAATATCGTATGCCTTCTGGAGGTCCATCTGAATAGCACACCTAGGAGAAATATTCTTGCAGTTATATCCCCTCAAAAGCTCATGAGCTATAATGACGTTGTCATGAATCACCCTGCCTAGGACAAAAGCAGCTTATGTGTCTTCTACAACATGAGAGATCAATTTTCTCAGCCTTGAGGTCAAGATTTTTGATATGATCTTGTAGGTAGTGGTACAACAAGAAATAGGCCTTAGATCTTTCACGGTCTTAGCATCAATATTTTTTGGGATCAAGGTCACTAAGGTGTAGTTTACAGCAGGATGAAGTCTACAATTGTCAAAGAAATTCAAGATAGTTGCAATTACCTCTTTCTTAATGACATACCAACTGGATTTGAAGAATTTGGCATTGAAGCCATCAACCCCTGGTGCTTTTTTGTTCCCAATTCCATTAAGATCTTCCTCAATCTCTTTTTCAGTGACAGATTGGGTTAGCATATTTTGTTGTTCTCTATTCAGCTATTTCCCATTTCCAATAACTTCCACATCCACATGTTTAAGTTCCACAGAAGCTGTACCCACCAGAGCTTTGTAGAAATTAATGATCTCTTTTTCAATGTCTTTAGGGTCCACCAGCATATTGCCCTGTTGATCTTCCAGCTTGTATAGACCAGTTGCCTGCTTTTTCCTTTGACAATAGCATGAAAGTAGGAATTGTTCACATCCCCCAGTTGCAACCAGTTAACCTTAAATTTTTGACTGTTAATCTTTTCCTCCAGTTCAGTATTTTGAATAACTTCATCTGTCCAGAATTTGGCCTGTTGCATTAAGTCCTATTTATATCTGTCTTTTTCCAATTGGAGTTGAACTTCCTCAAGCTTCTTCCTGCTGTCTTGGATTTTCCTTACCCCAGCTGTAGCAGTATTTGTGTACCTCCTCAAAATAGGCTGTAACCTACTAAGCTTTCTCCACAAAATGAACATAGGGTTACCCTTCTCTGAGTTTTTCCAGCTATCCTGAATTACTTGCAGATAGCCATCTCTCTCAGTGATGTTGTTTAGGAACTTAAAGCCTGCCTGTTTCCTAAGATTGGGTCCTGGCTCAGCAAACTGGACTTTAAAGGGAGCATGATCAGATATGCGAGGCTACAAAATTTCTATATCACATTGAGAGAATTTCTGGAACCACTCAGTATTGCATAAAGCTCTGTCTATTCTGGAATATATTACCCCATTCACATGCTTGTTGGACCAGGTGTATTGACTACCTCGAGTCTCATGCTCATTTAATCCCACAATTTCCATCATCTCATCCAGATCAGAGTATTCAGACATTTGAACATCTTTTCCTCCAACTCTTTCATCCCCTTTAAGCACATTATTAAAGTCCCCTATGATCATCCAAGGACCATTCACATTTGCTGCTATATTTTCTATACTAGTCCAAAGATTTCTTCTTTTAATGAGTTGATTATGAGCATAGACTAGGGTTAGGCTGAAGGCTTTCACACCATTCATTTGATATAGCTCACAATGAATATGCTGATTAAAGCTACTTATATGCTTAACATCCCATCTATCCTTTCTCCACATGAACCAAATTCTACCATTATGGTGATGCATATAGTTATCAATGCATCCCCAATAGTTTCCAAGAACTTTCCTAATTCTATCAACTTTATTTTCTTTCACTCTAGTTTCTAGTAAAGCAAAGCAAGATACCCGATGCTTCTTGAAGTAGGCTGAAACCTCCATGTATCTTGCTCTCTTATTTATCCCTTTAAGATTCCAGCTTAACATCATGTCAAAGTCTCATTGACTGTGGAGCATTCCCCACTCCCAAGATCCCAAAACCATTTATGCAATTCATAGGTGGGTTCCCTTTGTCATCAAACTTGAGTTCCCTATAAGGCTTAAAAGTTGACTTCTCCCTAGTCCAAGGGTTAGGGTCCTCATCACTATCTTTCTGCTTATCATGATCGATCTTTGTCTCCAAATTTGTTTCCGCTACACTTTTCTCAGCTGCAGTCACCTTCCCTGTATTTTCCTCTGCAGTAACTTGTGTATCCTGTTTAGGCGCCCATATTTTCTTAGTTGGTTCCTTCATCTTACACTCATGCCCAACCTTATTGCACTTCTTACAGTAAGGAGGCTTCCATTCATAACTAACTTGTTGTACCAGTTTTGTCCCACTCAGAGTCTTGATGCTAATCGAGGTCTTGAGCTCTGTTGTAACATCTACCTCAATGAGAACTCAGGCATATGAAACTCTAAGCTTCTTAGTTGTACATTCATCAATCATTATCGGTTTCCCAATGGCACTAGCAACTCTTTCAATACTTTCTCCCCCCAGTACAAGAGTGGTAATTGAGGGAAAATAACCCAGATAGGTAGAACCCTAAGCAAATCTTCTTTTAGCTGGAACTCAGGAGTCACTCGTGGAGGAACACAGGTTTTCTGTAAATTGTGTAGGGGCCCCTCAGCAGTATAGTATCCCTATCTTCTCGGGAATGGAACCTAATAAAAAAGTATCCCTCATCGTTGTAGTAGAGTTCTAGAAGGGCTAAAAAAATTCCAAGCGTTGAGCATAAATTTTCTCACAGCGTTCATTGATAGAGACTCACCTAACGCATCCATAATCAATGTGTCCTCCCAGTATCGCCGCTCTGATGCTACATCATTTTCCTCTATTATGACCTTAATTTCCCTGTTTACCACCATAGGTGCAATATATTTAAGAGCAAGACCATTGGAGGCAAGACGATTCCCTTTGATAATATCAACCCATGGTTTCACATCAGCAGACTTCAACACTTCTTTGTTTTTCTCTGCTACCCTCCTATTCACAGCTTTAGGTTGAATAGGGGTTACGTTCTAAGAGCTTGATTTCAATTTAGTCGTGTTACCCTTGATCGATTGAGAGGTAGATGATGATGGTGAGATAACATTCACCGCCGAGGGAGTCGGCACCGCCTTCTTCTTCGGCTGGCCACAAGCCATCGCTCTGCTAGGGCAAAATTTATTCCTCTATTATTATTATTATTATTATTATTAATATTATTATTATTATTATTATTATTTTTATCTTGTTTTGTATTATTATTATTATTATTATTATTATTATTTTTATTTTTATCATCTTGTTTTGTATTATTATTATTATTACTTTTATTTTTATCATCTTGTTTTGTATTATTATTATTATTTTTATCTTGTTTTGTATTATTATTATTCTTCTTCTTCTTCTTCTTCTTCTTCTTCTTATTATTATTATTATTATTATTATTATTATTATTATTATTATTATTATTATTATTATTATTATTATTATTATTATTATTATTAATATTATTATTATTATTATTATTAGTATTATTATTAGTATTATTATTATTATTATTAGTATTATTAGTATTATTAGTATTATTATTAGTGTTATTAGTATTATTATTATTAGTATTAGTATTATTAGTATTATTATTATTAGTATTATCAGTATTATTATTAATATAACTATTAGTATTATTATTATTAATATTATTATTATTATTATTATTATTATTATTATTGTTATTATTATTATTATTATTATTATTATTATTATTATTATTATTATTATTATTATTATTAGTATTAGTATTATTATTATTACTATTATTATTATTATTATTATTATTATTATTATTATTATTATTATTATTATTATTATTATTATTATTATTATTGTTATTAGTATTATTGTTACTATTATTATTATTATTATTATTATTATTATTATTATTATTATTGTTATTAGTATTATTATTACTATTATTATTATTATTATTATTATTATTATTATTATTATTATTATTGTTATTAGTATTATTATTACTACTATTATTAGTATTATTATTACTATTTTTGTTATTATTATTATTATTATTATTATTATTATTATTATTATTATTATTATTATTATTACTATTATTAGTTTTATTATTATTATTATTATTACTATTATTAGTTTTATTATTATTATTATTATTATTTTTAGTATTATTATTATTACTATTATTATTATTATTATTTCTATTATTATTATTGCTATTATTATTATTACTATTATTATTATTATCTTGTTTTCTATTATTATTATTATTATTATTATTATTATTATTATTATTATTATTATTATTATTATTATTATTATTATTATCTTGTTTTGTATTATTATTATTATTATTATTATTATTACCTTGTTTTGCATTATTATTATTATTATTATTATTATTATTATTATTATTATTATTATTATTATTATCTTGTTTTGTATTATTATTATTATTATTATTATTATTATTATTATCTTGTTTTGTATTATTATTATTATTATTATTATTATTATTATTATTGTTGTTGTTGTTACTATTATTATTATTATTATTAATTATTATTATTATTATTATTATTATTATTATTAATTATTATCATCATCATCATCATCATCATCATCTATAGCTACTTACCTAAGGTTCCCAGATCCGGATATAGGATCTTTTACAAGAAAGTAAACCCGAGCAACCCTTTAAAGATAAAACAAGCAAGTCAAACAAAGCAGGTAAAGTGATCTAACTCTAAAGGTAATCCCTCTTTTAAGTTTTCCCCAACAGAGTCGCCAGTTCTGTAATACGGTGGGAGAACTGACTTGGTTTTGCATTTTATTGTAAATGTTGCAGATAGCAAGAATCGCCACCGACTTTTATTTTATCCAATAAGGAAAGGGTGAAAAGAACAGGAAAGACCTTCGAGATTTTTGAGTTCGAGGGGTAGGTTATGAAAAGGGAAGGTGTTAGCACTTTTTTTATCCGTAGTTATCTACGGGCTCTTAATCGCTAGCTCACTTTTAAAAAATGCTTTTTGTTGTGCATGTTTGAAAATATTTTGAAAATTCTAATTGTAAGGCGAACTTTTTAATGACTCTCGTATCTGTCCTCGAGAATGCATACAAAGTGTTTGTTTGAAAATATTTATTGAAGAATGTTTGTGTGAAAAATGTTTTGTTTTGAAGAGCTTTATAAGCAAGCGATTAAGATCTACCCTTACTCAAGGTCTTTCTTGTAATTTTCTCCTCCTTTAGTTAGTGCTATCCTACCATTAGTTAGTAGGAAGCCCTATCGTTGGATGTGAAGGGACGAGTGTGGGTCATCGTACAGTCATCGAAGGTAACTCGTAAAGACGCTTTAGAAATTATCGTTTAAGGGACTAGATCATTTACCGAAGGCAACGTCGAAAGGGTCATCGAGGGACTATGATCTTTTGTATCGGAGGGACTTTGCTAAAGCGTCCCCATATTCGAGGGACATGACTGTTTAATCGAAAGACAACAAGAGAGGCTACCCTAAAGGTGCGCATATGCAAGTGTTTTGTATTCAATTATTTATCTTTGAAATTAGGGTTAGCTACTGTTTCATTTTTATCTTGTGATACATGACTAATTACTAACAGTAACAGTAAAAATAATAAAGCAATAAAGTACGGAAAGTAAAAGCAAAAAATAAAATCTTAGACTATTACATGACTTTGGGGGAAGTTACATAATAGAAAGCGAAAATTTGAAACCCTAGGCTATTACAACCCGAAAAACAGTTACATAATAATGAAAAAGGAAAGTGAGAAATCTAAGCTATTACAAATTACGAAACCCATACACTTTAAAAATAAAATTAAAATAGAGAAAAAAAAGAAATGTTTTTGATGATTTTTTGTGGAAAAGGTTTTTTTAACGATGATTAAAATAAACTTAAAAAACTAATTAATTTTAATTAACAAAATAGTTGATTAATTAAATTAATAAAGAAGGTTAATGATGAAAAACCTAAAAACTAATTAATTTTAATTAATAAAGTAATTGATTAATTAAATTAATAAAAAGGTTAATGATGAAAAACCTAAAAATTAATTAATTTTAATTAAAAAAATAATTGATTAATTAAATTAATAAAAAAGGTTAATGATGAAAAACCTAAAAATTAATTAATTTTAATTAAAAAAAATTGATTAATTAAATTAATAAAAAAGGTTAATGATGAAGAACCTAAAAATTAATTAATTTTAATTAAAAAAATAATTAATTAATTAAATTAATAAAAAAGGTTAATGATGAAAAACCTAAAAATTAATTAATTTTAATTAACAAAATAATTGATTAATTAAATTAATAAAAATGGTTAATGATGAAAAACCTAAAAATTAATTCATTTTAATTAACAAAATAATTGATTAATTAAATTAATAAAAAAGGTTAATGATGAAAAATCTAAAAATTAATTAATTTTAATTAAAAAAATAATTGAATAATTAAATTAAAAAAAAGGTTAATGATAAAAAACCTAAAACCTAATTATTTTTAGGGTTTACAAAAAAGCAATTATTTTAGGTTTGTAAAAAAAAAAGGTTTATGGTTTTGTGGTTAGGTGAATTTAGGGTTTAAGGGAAAAAATAGGAAAAACGATCAAGTTAGAAGCAAAATCACATAAAATGTCAGAGATAAATGTTGAACCCACGCCCTTAGCCTTCTACACTGTATTAAGGGGAAAAATAGGGAAAAAGAACAAGTTAGAAGCAAAATCACACAAAATGTCAGGGGTGGGTGTTGAACCCACACCCTTAGCCTTCCACACTGCATTAAGAACAAGTTAGAAGCAAAATCACACAAAATGTCAGGGGTGGGTGTTGAACTCATGCCCTTAGCCTTCCACGTTGCATAGTTTGTCACTGTGCCAGAGCTCACATATTATGCATCAAACCTGCTCTAATGATGTATATGAACACATGTAAACATATCAAATTAGTTAACAATGCATAAATCAAAGGTTTGAATTTAAAAAAAAACTATCAAAATCGGCGAGGATGAACATGATGTTCTGGGAACGATCTTGACTGCTTGAGGATTAGAATAGATTCCTGTGCACTTCAAGATGATAATGCAATGCTTGGTTTCAATTGAGAAGGGCTGGAAACAAGGGTTTTGTGTTGCCCTAATTTCTTGAATTTTTGGAAGTTTTGGAATAGTTTTCTTTGCAAGGGTTTTCGTGTGATGTTATGTTTGAATGAAGAGCAATATATAGAGAAGAATTAGGTTAAACCATTATGGACTTGGACCTTGTAAGAAAAGCCTTGACTTTATCTTATTTAATTTTGAATTTAAATAAATAAAATAAAAAATAAATGGAATAAAAATCAAAGGGGTGTATGAATAGGTTCAGAGGTACACTATGAGGCCTAATACACGTTTGGACCTTGTAACACAAGCCCATTAGCCCAAAAAGTCGTGTTTGATCAATTTGGGTTTCATGCATTTTCTCAAAATTTCCCAACTTGTGCCAATCATAACTCTCTCAATTTTTATCATATGGAGGTGATCTTGGACTTTTTGGAAAAATCAATATGTCCCCTACAATCTCTACATTGATCATATTTTCATTTGAAGACTTTATCTTGATGTAAGTTGCCTTGACAAAAAATGTCTTTTTGTTAACTTTTGGAACGAACTATAATATTTTGGCCCATATCTCTCAAATGAAGCATTTTTTGGACTTGAGATTAGAGAGACAAATATTTAGAGAATTGAATTTCCTTCACAACGAGCTTTGGTTGAGGAAAAACTGATGAATCATGTGAAAGTTATGCTTAGTCAAAGTTCAGTTGACTTCTCCTTAAGAAAATCTTAATTTGGCAACTTTTGACTTTTGATGGTTTGAGTCTCTTCTTGATGAATCATGATCAACCCTTTATTAAATGATGATCGTGACTTCAAAACCTTGATGTTGACCAAAAATATTGAAGTTACTGTATGTTGACCACAATTGACTTTTTACTCAATATAGTTGATTTTTAGTAATCTGAGCAATTGACTGAGAAAACTTGTGATGCAAGGCTTGAAATTTGGAATGAGAATTCCTTGAGACATATGATAAACCATGGAACCACTTGAGGTCTTAGAAACCCAAACTTCCTTG